ACACACACACACACACACACACACACACACACACACACACACACACAGAAAACTGTCTCACTCCAGGTAGGGTGGAGGAATGACCCAGAATCATTGAGTAGCCAAGCCAAGCCAAGCCATCCCATCTCATTCTAACCTTCCCTATCTCTTCTAACACATAGGGAAATGGTGGTGAAGTCAGGAACTCTTCCCATCTGCTGCCATCAGCACTGGCAGGCATTACTTCAGATCTCAGTTGAGGAGGCCTCTTGACTTCTTGGAGGAGCTCCTGCCTCAAAGCCCAAGGGCTGGGCCAAAGCAGGCATCCGAGGTGAAGAGGAGCAATGTCTTCTCTGCTGGGGTGGCAGTGGGAAAGGCTGAGGATGCGGCGGGAATGGCGGGCCCCACTGGCCTTGGGTGGTCAAGCTCAATTGTCCCAAAGCTCATCGGAAGGCTGATCCCACGGTGTGGGCCTGCTCCACAAGGCAGTCTGGCAGTGACAGCATCATCACTAAACTCTTGTCATCCTTTGACAGTTCAGAAGGTTGTTGGCGGTGGTGGGTTTTTTTTTCATTTTCTGCACGTGTTTTTTAGACAAAAGAAAAAAGCCCCAGCTTATTAAAAAAAAAGGAGCAGGAAGAGTTTACTCCCGAAACACAGACACAAGGTTTTTGTTTTTGCTTTTTTATAAAAAGGAGATTGAGTTCTTGCTATAAAATATGACTGAAAGATGTCAGCCCTGAAAACAAATTCTCACAGTGTTTTCAGTGTCGGTGGTTCACAAGGCATTCGACAGAAGACGTGGAGCTAGACCGATACCATCACTGACAAGAGGGTGAATGTGGCCTTCAGGAGTGGCTGCTTCAAGTCCCTTGGGCCCAGCTGAGTGGGTCGGCTCACGGATTCCTGCTTGGCTCAGTGGAGGAGGTGAAGGAGCTGGCCATGTTCTCCAAAGCCTACCAGATATGGCTCCTGCTTTGGTGGGCCAGGCTAGGAATCCCTCTGGTGTGGTCCCCTTCCCTCAGTACGGTGCTAGCACTCTGGCAGATGGCTGTGCGAGTACAAGTCACTGGCTTCCCTGCTCACCCGCCCCCTTGACATCCCAAATTGGTATCAGATGCCAGGCTAGGGCTCTGTCAGAGGTGCAAGCTGAGAGATGACCAGCATCAGCTCCCACCCCTGGCAGCCTTCTTCAGACAAAGAGATCAGGGGCACCTTTTGCCCAGTTGAGGATTCACCAAGGATTTTTTTGCTCCAGATTCCCTTTTCCCCCACCCCCTGCCCCAGTCACATTTTCAATGTGACTCGTATGAGCTACCCTCCATGGAAGGCAACCTGTAGCACTAGAATGAGACAGCATGAGCCTCGTGGGGGCTCAGGAATTTCACAGAAGGTCCATGGAACGGCACATATCACACCCCCATCAAATTACTCAAAAGAATGGCATCAATCTAACCTCCTTACTTGATAACTGTGGATTTGTGGCCCAGAGGAGGAATCACAGAAAAAAAAACCCCATGTTAACTCTGCATCCTTTTTCTTTTTTTCTTTCTCTCTCTCTTTCTCTCTCTCTCTCTCTTTTTTTTTGAAACTTGAAAGCAACAATCGCCCTATTGGCCACTCTAGCAGAAGTACCATACTGTACAGGAGGATAGTGGGAAGTTGGCCTCTGGACGCTGGACACTGTCTTCTCTTCACATGGAATCTCCCAGGGAGTCGGAGTCGTCCAAGGACAGAGGCAGGTACAGGTCCTGAAAGAGGAAGAGGAGCCAGTGTTAACTTGCCTTCACATCGGACGTGTGAACCTAGGAGAGGCCTAGGTCCCAGTGTTGGCTCTGCCACTTAACTCACCATGGGACCTTGGAGCCCATTCCCTTCTCTCGGCCTCAGTTGCCTCCGCTGTAAAATGGGAAACTGGATTAGCTGATGGCTAAGGCTTCTTCTAGCTCTGACACTGTGGGATCCTATGGCCCTCCCTAGCCATCCTTGGTCTTCGGATTTCCTTTCTGTAAAGTAACGGGGCACTCCAGTTCCTCCCAGCACTAACACTCTATGATCACATTATAGCAGAATCATAGAATCTCAGAGCTGCAGGAGACCTCAGAGGCACACCTAGGCCAAGCTCTACGCCAGCAGGAAGACGATGACGATGATGATGATGACGATGATGATGATGACGACGAGCGGGTGTCCAGCCTCCACTTGAATTCTCCCCAGGCAGGGGGCAGGGATGGGGGAGCCCACTTTGGGCCAGCTCTCTCTCATGCTTACAAAGTGGGTCCCGACATCAAAGCTTGAATTTTCTTCTGTGCAAACTCATCTCCACTGGGAGATAAGTTCTGCCTCTGGAGCCAAGCAGAGCAAGCGTGAGTCCCCTTCAAAATGTCGACCTTTACATACTGGAAGAAAGCTATTATGTACAACTCAAAACTTCTAAGCCCCAAGCAAAACAGCTCACTTTCCTCATTTGGCTACATCTTCACATCCTTTGCCATCTTGGTTGCAAGCAAGAGGGGGGCCTCCAGTCATCCCAGACAAATAGAATATGTCCAAGGAGGAGGATGCCCCTCCCCCCAATTGGCCGTACTACCCATTATCATTGCTTCCTCCCCTTCTCCATGCTATGATTTCTTCACCTACCAAATAAAGACCCTCCCTATTGGTCTGTGTCCTAGACAGGTAGCTCTAGGGGAGAACCAGGATGAAGATGGGGACTTCACTGGTGTTGATGACACAAGATGGGTTGGATCACTTTGGGGCAGTGGAAAGAGATCTAAAGACCTGTGCCCTTCCTGGGCCTCAGTTTCCACCTCTGTGAAATAAAGGGGTTGATTGAGATGGTTACTAAGGGCCCTTCTCCTTCTAATAATATGTGGAATATTAATAAATAAACACTTATTGACTGATAAGTGACCATTTTCCTTCCTTGGTTGCATTTAAGTAAAAATAAATGGGGGCGGTGGGATAGTAATTCTGTCAAGTTCCTGGGGGAAATGTTTGACACTTTCAAAAGAACTTACTTATGAAGGCAGGTGCTCAGTAAATATGGCAGCATCATGGACCCCTGGGTCTTGGCATCCCTTAACTGTGAGTAAACCTACTCCTCCAACCTGTATCCCATATTCCGGGGGAGCTATGGGGACAGTGTTAGGAGTCGTGTTCCTCTTTAGGTCCTGTCAATGTCTCGTTCCTTCTGAGGTGCCATAGTTTTAGGCTGTAATGGTTTCCAGAGTTTGCCCATTCATCCCTTGCCTGTTTACTAGTACAAGGATGGCTAGATGGAGCTCTGATGCCTGTTTTTGCCAGCATGGACAGCTCCTAGCAAAGCTGGCCACAAGCACAAGCAGGTACTCCACTCCCCAGTGTTGGCACACCCTGGAAGTCAAGAAGGCCCAGAGCTTTAGAGTGGCTGTTTCGGGGCATAAAGATGGGCCCGATGCCATGCCAGCCTGCTTTCCAGGGCTGTTGTGGATCTAGCTGGAAGCAAATGCCGTGAAGGCCCCTGCACGTCAGCTTTCTGTACAAAGGCATTTCTGCTCATGCTGCAGAGTGGTGCCATGTTTCTAGCCACGTGGTTGGAGTGATTCCTTTGTAGATATGTTGTAGAATCCCCTTATAGGTAGAATTTACTTGGAAGCCCCCAAATTATGTCTCTCAATTGAGCCAAAGTTTACATTTGAAAGGCTTGATCCCAGACCCTGGCTAATGAGTCTATTATTACATACATGTCACGGAAATCGAAGAGGATCATTGCTGCCTCAGACACATCAATAAAGAGCTCTTGCCACCAATGGCACCCATCACTAGAAATGCCCACTCTGCAGTTTCTGCAGATCTGTTCAGGCCTGGTCCAGGTGGAGGAAGCCAAGGAAAACATAACCTCCATACCTGGTCCAGGGCAGGAAGGCCTACGCTAAGGAGCTGATTGCCAGTTGGGTCCCCAAGATGACCAGCAGAAGTCACGGGGATGCTAGGACTTTGTCTTACTTTAAAGACATTGATTTCTTTAAAGCTGATTGGTGTCTTTTGTTTGGAAACAACTGACATTTTCTAATAAACACCTCAGTAAAACTCCCTAAAAAGGTAGATTTCTGCCAAAGCATCTGAGCACGACTGTGGTTGACAAGGCTCTATCACTGTCTATCTGGGGAATTTACTACTTGTTACCAGCAAGAAAGGATTTGTGCTTTTCCCACTGATACTCTGATGCCAGCTTTGTCCAGCAGACATCACCCCTCATTTCATTGTTGTATTTATTTTACATATTGTTCTTTGGCCTTCACCTTTTTTACCCTATATCACTCCATACAAGGCTTCCCCTATTTCTCTGAAACCTTCATATTCATCATTCCTTATGGTGTTGCAAGGTTCCATTCCATTTATCTCCCACAGTTTGTTAGGCCATTAGCAAACTATGTTGGGCACAGATTTTGTTCCCAGCTTTCTATTCTCACAGAGTGCTGCTAGAAATCTCTTTGTACATAGGGGTCTTTCATTGCTTTCGATAACCTCTTTGGGATATAGTCCCAGAGTGGGATCTCTAAGTCAAAGTTACAAAGAATAACTTTTTTCTTACATAATAATTCCCAATCGTTTTCCAGAATGGTTGAACTGATTCAACCAGCTCCACCGGCAGTGACTCAATGTTCCTGCTTTCCTTCCCACAGCCCCTCTGCCAACAAGTTTTCCCATTTTTTTCTTTGCGACTTTGATGGCCATGTGGTGATACCTCAGGAGTATTTCTGCTTGCCGTTCTCTGTTTATTCGTGCTTCTGAATACTTTTTTCCTGATGGTCGTTGACAATTCATGTTTCTTCACCTTTGTTTTCTACTTGCCTGAGACCACCCACCCCCGGCCAGAGCAGGTCTCTGGGCCAGGGGCCAACAGCTCCCTTCCTTTGGCTCATAATTGGAAAGCAACTGGTGGCCAGAGGCCCAAAGAACCAATCAGAGCAAGTGGGTGGCTGTGGTACCTGCTGGAGTTCCTGGGCCAGGCCCAAAAGCTGTTGAGACAGATGAGGAGGCCATGTGGTATTGGTGTCGTTGAGATGGAATGGGAACGGCATTCCCACCTAGCCAGGTAAATAAAGCAGAAGGGGGTTTAGTAAGGTATAAGAGACATAATACCTTGTGCTTCCGGAGGCTCCCAGGGCTGGTGGGGGTCGAGATTGGCGACTGCTTTGACTTGGGGGTGGACAGCTGGCTGCTAGATGTCCCGTTGGCTGGCCCAAGAGAACAGAAAAGGCAGGCCAAAGTCAGCAGCATTGCAAGTACCAGGGATCCTCTGTGTTTGCTCTCCCCACCTCCCATCCAGGGACGCCAAGTCCCAGAGCAGGTCCCAGAAGTCAATCACACACAAGCCCCGCCCTTCCCCAACAGGCAGGACCAGGGCTCTGCCTCACTGTCAGTTCAAGCCATTGTCCATGGAGTGACTGGGCACCCCATGAGGGGTCGGGCAGCACCCCACTCTCTCCGCCTCCTTTCCCATTATAACACAGGTTTGTGTCAGTTGACCAAGCCCCACTTATTCCCCACCCAGATCATGGAAAGCAGAAGGGCAGTGATGGCGTACGGGGACTCCTGTGCGCATGAAAAGGGGAGAGCAGGAAGTGGCCTCTTGGCTATCAGGGGAAGGGAGCGTTCCCACTGGGCGACCTTAGAGATGTTACCAACTGGCTGGGGCCTGGAACAATGGGGCCTCTCACTTTGGAGGCAGCACAGCGTTTGGGGAAATGACAGCAACAGCTTCCATGGCTGAGGGAAGGGATCTATGGACCAGCAGTTTGGAGGCTTCCCTTCCAGTCTCAGCTTAGCCGCTGCCTTGCTGTGGGGCCTGGGAACTGGCCACTGACCCTCTCTAAGCCTCCCTCCACTCTCTGGCCTGCCCCATCACTTGTTGGTTGTCAGCAGAAACTGGGAGAATGAATGAAAAGAACCTTGTAACTGTGAAGGATTTTGCAAGTAAATGTAAGAGATCATTAATAATAACATGGAGTCAACATCAGAGAGTAAATTCACAAATTACGAAACAATAAGCTTGTGAAATAGAGGGGCCCAGCAGAGGAGAGAGGACAAGATCAAAATGATGTAGGATCAGGCCAGAGGCCATCATCCCCATCCTCCTGTCTGTTACTGATACTTGCCACCCCTCACCACACACACACACACACACACACACACACACACACACACACACACACAGACACACACACACACAGACACACACACGCAGAGACACAGACACACAGACACTCACACACACACATTCATGTCACACACACAGAGACACATACACACACAGAGACACACACACACAGACACACAGACACTCACACGCACACACACACACACAGACACACACACAGAGACACATACACACAGACAGAC